AGAAAAAGAATTCGAAACGAAAGAATCACGAAAGTATGTGCAAAGGACCAAAGTAAGAAAAGGTGTTGGAAAAGAAGGTATGTTTTCTCCTTGAATGTGACACTTTGTCGGAATTCGTCGGATATTGACTCTGAGTACATGCACAAATATTAACGTTAATTGTAACTATTTAACTATTGGCACAATTGACACATGACTAAAATCGATTGTGTGATAAATTATTTGTTTAAAAAGGGGAATAAGAACCGTACCCCCTCCACAGATGGGTCCGATCATTCTAAAAATAAAGAGGCCGAAGTATTAGATATGAATGTTGCCCAACATCAACGTCGAAAGTCAACTGCTAACACTCCTGATATATCAAGCAAAAATAAAAATTCTAATAACAATGGTATTGATAAGTCCGTTCATCGTCGTGGTAAATCAATGGCAAACGTTGGGGAACTTCAAGGTGTCTCTTCGAAGAATGGAAACGGTAAATCTAAAGGCAGCAAGGATGATTCTGAAAATAAATCTGAAGCATTAGAATCTTTGCAGCAGATTATTGCCAGTCTCAAGAGTTTACCGGCAGTTCCATCTAAACCTCAGAAGTCAGATAAAAAAGATGATGATAGTTCCGCTGATTTGGCTTTTAAGCATAAACGTCATGAATCGAGTTCATCTGGTACCGGAAAGCGGACTAATACGCCTTCTAAACAACATAAGAAGGGTACTTCCGTGTCATTTTCATTTCCTTTGACAACAGCAGTTACTACCTCATTAAAGCCGATTCTTGATTCAGAAGACGGCAAACCTATTGACATAGAAAATGCTTTGCAAGACACTATTTCCTCTTTGAGGCGTATGAGCCTTGATAAAGGCAAAGTTCAGAAGGAAAAAGAGACTGATAAGAAAAAAGATGATGGTGAAGATGATGAGACTGAAGAAGAAAAGAAGACTCGGCGTAAAAAGAATCCTATAAACCGAAAATCTCCAAATCTTGACGACATGGCACAGTCTAGTATCGATAAAAAACAAGAATTGGATTCTCCTAAGTCTCCATTTGACTTCAAGAAATCCATGGACGATCAACAACAGCTAACTACGAAAAAGACCCATCGTCGTCATCAATCTCTTGGTTATACGTTATCTACTTCTTCGTCTTCAACATCTATTGCGAAGCCTAATATTCCTATCCATGGTCGACGTCACAGTGTAGCTCTTAATGGCAGCAAAGATGTGCTTAAAGAACTTGAAAAGAACCAAGGCAGACTTACTGCACCAGAAGCGAAGGGCCATCGCCGTAGCAATTCCAGAAATTTTGAAGGCAACTGGCGATCAAGTAAGTGATAAATATAGACAAATAGCTTAATCGTGACAATCCTCGAAGTTTTAGTTTAAAACTTTCTATAGACCAAATTTAAGAATTGGCTCTTTATAAAAATAATGAATGCGATGCACTTTATCATTCCAATAATACTCAGCTGCCTCGCCCCTTTCTGCCTTAGCTCAACCATTCCAGCCATTTCCAATACCTAAGTTTGGTGCAATTCAGAAGAAACAGCAACAGAATCAACAAAACTCTAACAATCAGCAACAAAGGAAGTCTCTCTTTGCACCCTATCTTCCACAAGCCTCTCTTCCTCCACTTCTTAAAAGTTGTCAGCTTGTTTCCGGTGTTCTGCGAATCAACAAACGTAATCGATCTGATGCCTATGTAGCCACCGAGTCACTCGATGCTGACATCTACATATGTGGCTCCAAAGATAGAAATCGCGCATTAGAAGGTGATGTGGTCGCGGTAGAATTGTTAGATCCTGATAAAGTTTGGCAGACTAAAAAAGAGAAAGAAGAAAAGAAGAGGAAAAAAGAAGAAAGCGCTGGAATTGACAAAAAAAAAATCGATAAAAAGAAAGAT